TTTTGGTTGATCAGAGAGGGGGGGGGGTTTACTGTCATCTTTGTGCAAGCGGAGAGACACCTGCTTAGTCAGCTATCCCGTGTTATGCTCGCCTACGCTGCTCTGCTGTGCCTAGGGGTAACCAACTGTGTCTGCCCTTGACCGGCGGAGGAGAGTCCATGGTGAAGTGTCACGAAGCGCAGTATGTACTGAAGTCTGCCACAGGAGCTCAAGGTAATACCCCTGGTGGATGTGGGTAATCCAGAGCGGGCTTCTAATGGTCTGAGACCACAGGGTGGAAGTATGTATGAGAGAGACCCCTTGACTTCGCCAAATTCGATGCTCGAGAAGCGGGGATTGTACTCGCCGTACTCGACAGGACCCTTTCAGATACCATGAGCTGGGCGGGTACAACTTTGGTGCTCCATGCTGGGATCTGGGGGTCGGATATCTAGTGCCGCCGGGCAGCGTAGGATAGCATAGAACCCCTGAGTTTCTTAATCATGCTGATATGTAAATAGGTAAGGTAGGGTGAAGGGTACAGTACAGCACAGTCAATGTCCAGAGACTGACTACAGTAAAACAGGAAGTTGGGGTTGCGAGCCGGAAAACAACAAGAAACGCCCCAAGCCCAAGAGTCGATATTACCATTACGCCCTTCGTAGCATAACCCCAAGAATAGAAATAGTGTCGGATCAAATCAGGGGGAGTGGGAGAGAATACAGGTGTATGTATACACATCATCCAAGAACATTGAACATTGGATGTTGAAGGAGAGTTGAGGGGTAGTAGGCTGGGTGGATTTGTTTCAGATGGAGTTCTCTCGGTGAAGGTGGTGGTGATGTGTGTTTGTGTGTGTGTTGTGTGTGTCAGGGCTGGATGAATGGTTTGTATGGATGAAGAGATGGCTGGAGACTTGACTAATGACTCGAGTCAGAGTGACTGAACTGATTTCACAGGGTCGGAGGATCTCCTTCAACCTGAGACATCATCAGACAATCCCCCCAAAACGAGTCCAGAGGAACAGGGTGAAACGTCCTTGGTTTCAAGATGTCATTCATCGCGCCTGTGCATCAGTCCATCGGTCCATCGGTCCATCGGTCCATCGGCGCAGCTGCCCACCCCGCACCAGACATCCCAAAAATCGAGACAACCCCCCTGAAGAAGATAAGGAGAAGAGAATGTTCCCTGACAGAACAACCGCCCCCACCCCCACCCCCACCCCCGCCCTCCCCAATCATATCCAGAGAGATACAACCGGCCACTTCAGGTTTACTTGCCCGCCCAGCCTCTCAGTCGCATGCCTTCCTCAATTGCCGACCAAATGCCCTCGACGACCTCGCGATCTCTCCACCGCCCGGACCCGTTCACCCCGCCCTTCTCGTCCCATCTCTCGACCGAGAAGCTCTGCACCCCACGACCCCAATTGCGGACCTCGCGCGGACTGTCCTCCCCGCGCCAGCCCACATAGACACCCGTGGCGTGTTTGAACAGCTCGGGCGGAGAAGACCACTTGTAAGATTTGAACTGCCAGGTTTGACCCGTGGTGAAGACGGCCACCAGGCGGTTCCAGTAATCCGGCCGGAAGTTGGCGGTGCTGTCCACCAGGATGAAGCGAGTGGGCTTGCGAGAGCCGGAGGAGGACGCGCTGGACCTGGAGTGAGGGAGAGAGGTATTAGAGGAGCTGCCTTGGATGCGCAGGGGTCGATTGATATAGAGAATGTTGCTGTTCGTCCCCGTGGCCAACGTGGGGTGGTCGGGCGGAATGAAGACACCCTCCTCGAGGAACGAGCGCACATTGGACATGCGGATAAGAGACGATGCGGAAGGCGACAGCAGGATGATTGGATCCTGCGTCTTGGAGCTGCTCTTGCTGCTTCGGGGTTGCGAGAGACCGGCGGACGGCGCGGGCACCGGCACCATGGAAGAGGAGGAGGTCGGCTTGCTGCCAGGCTTGGTGACGCCCGCGGGATATTGACCCGTTCGCGACGACCGATTCCGACCCAGGATGGTTTCTGCGGTTTTGCGCACATGGGAAAAGTCCTAAAATCCCCAAGAATGATTAGCATCCTAAACGTAAACCCACCCACAGGGGACCTTCTGAGGGAATGGCACTCACCGTCGGCTTAATCCCCCTCAACACACTATTCCGATCCCCCATCTTCCTCTCCCCATTGTAAATCTCCTGTAACCTCGGATCAATCACCTTGGCCGCCCGACTACCGTGCTGCTGCGCACCCCCGGACGCAGCAGCCGCAGCAGCCCCTCCCGTCGCACCAGCGCCACTCCCACTCGGCACCGTAGCAACACCCCCGGCCGCTCCCGAAGCAATATTGGCTGACGCCTGAGCCTGCGCACCAACACTACTCTCCACGCCCGCAGCGGCAGCAGCAGCTGTAGCAGCAGCCGTCACCGCGGCGGCGGCCGCCTTGGCAGCGGCCTCGCCTTCGAGAGGCTTGATGTACTCACTCTCCTCGGACGCGCCCTCCAGCCACGTCAGGAGATCGAGTCGCTCGACGAACACCAGATTCTGGACCTTTTCTTCAGGCTGCTCGGGATCATCCTTCCGCTTCTCCTTGAGGGCCTGGTTCAGCCCCTCCGCTTCGGCGATATACTCCGGGATCGCAACGTCCTTCTTCAGCCACGCGAAGAAGATACTGCGCAGGTCGACGGCCTCGCCTGTCGTGCTGGAGACGAAGCGCGTCGGGGTGTTGAGGGGGATGGTCTGGGGGCTGCTGCTGCTGCTGCTGCTCGGGGTGTGCGGGAAGTACAGGTGAGTGGCTTTGGCGAGATCGAGGTCGGTTTCGGTGTCGGTAGGTGGGTCCGTCGGAGAGGAGGAGGTTGTCGGTCGTGGGGGATGGTTGGAGAGGAGGGATTGGCGGAGGGCGAGAAGGGGGTCTGTGCTGGGTGATGAATTGGTGGCCATCGTGGGTGTCGGTCTCCCAATGGTCCTTCCGGGGAGTGTGGTTTGTGGTGTGGTGTGTAGTTTGAGGTCAAGAGGGTGGGAGAGGTTAGCTGGAATCCACCGCAATGTCGGGGCGAAGACCAAGGTTCCGAGTCAGAATTAAGGGAGATTGTCACCGCTCGGGGAGGGCTTGGGAAATTATAACGGTAAAGGAGGAGAAGAGGAAAAGGGGAGGTGTTACAGCGCAGCTTGGAGGTTGAAGGAAGCTTCAGTTGAGAGCGACTTTCTCGATGCGCGCGCGGGGCACGTGATTTCATCCCCGGAGGTTGGTTGGGGCCTGGCCAACTGGCAGGCCCACTCTGCCGTCTCTCACTTTGTGAAGTATGAGTAGACTCTGGGTAGGTACAGTTTCATTTCCAACACCTAAACTAAAGTACTCAAGACTGCATATCACTCCTGAGTTTCCTCATCCAACTCCAAAACCAGCTCCAACCTCCCAACAGAGCAGTGACTCCTGTAAACAAAATCACTGCTCCGTAGTCAGTCGCATACCCCGTGCTCACTCCACCATGAACACCAGCAACAGGACCTCTCTGCATCAACTTCTCACTGAGCGGCCCGCTGATCACACTCCCAATTCCCCTACCCCCGGCCAAAAGCCCAAAGACTAGCCCCGTCTCCAACGAGGGCATCTCCCGCTTAATCTGCGTCAGGACTCCGGACCAGGTGGAACTGAACCCTCCGGCAAAGAAGCCGTAGGTGATCGAGAAAACCGTCAACAGGGCGAGCGCTGTATGAGCCTGCAGATGCTCGGAGGAAGAAGACAGGTGGCTTGTGGCAGTGGAAGAAAGTCCCCAGAATAACAACACCGATAGCCCCGAGCCCACCGACGACAGCAGCATGATGTTGGAGACGGCGAAGCGGTCGCACATGGAGCCTAGAACGATGCCTCCAACGATGGAGGTGGCATTAAACAGAGCCAGAAGGAGGGTTCCGGTCGTTTCGGATAGCCCGGCTGCTGTTGTCGAGTAAGATGGGAGGTAGGTACTCGGGAGAAAGTATCCTAGACTCTGGATGATGTTTCCGAGCTCCAGTGTCCAGAACGTGAGCAACTTTAGGAACGCGAGGTTGAGAGGCTGGGGCGACGTGGACGCTGCGGGAGGAACTCGGGGCTTGATAAAGGGAAGTGCTATCAAAGTCGTGAGAAGCTGCATCATGTCAGGTCAGACTAGGGACTCAGAATTAGCATGGTTGATGTTCTCCCACCGTGATAATTGTCCAGGCTCGTAGGGTGGTTCTCGCTCCGTATCGATCCAGTGCAGCGCTTGTCAAGAAGGGCAAAGCCACGCCGCAGACGCTCTTGCCGGCCCACATGATGCCATATGCAAGGCCCTTGCGGCGAATGAACCACTGGTCGAGAAGGAGCGTCGTTGGGCTGAAGACGAGGCCGTTCCCCAGTCCACAGAGGACGCCTTGGGTGGCTATCAATTGCCAGACAGTATGGGCGAAGGATGACAGTAACGACCCTCCGACGCTGAGAACCAGTCCAACCGGGGCACAGTATGTTTGCAGATGAGGGTAGCGGGTCAGGAGGGTAAAACTGATAGGCGATAACAGGTAAAGAATTCCCTACGCGGCATCTTCATCAGTCGGTTCCATGGGTCATGCTGAGAGGTATACTCCTACCATCGATGTGGTTCCCACAATCGCCAAACCTCCAGTGCCTCCTTCAAGTTCATCGTGAGTCTCAAAGTATTCTTGGAAAAGACCGGAGACAAGGGAGAACCCTGCACCAGAGAGCTCAGTAAACAGCTTCTTCCCATTCGAGAACGAAGCATACCCCACACTGGAAGTTGGATAAGACAGCAGGATGCTAGGATCAGCCATGCTCCTCTGCCTTGGTCGACCGGTGGCAGCAACGGTTGTTCAAGTTCCATCGAAGCCCTCGGTCGAATCCGATCGATAGAAGGTCTTCGATGTGATCGGGATTGAAGATTCTCCAGTGTGTAGCAAGCCATGGAAGTCAGGATGGAGCGAAGTTGGGGTAAATGATAAGGAAGTGAGGGCAGGAAAAGAAAAGCAAAGGAATATACCCCGCAATGCTATCAGTGAGGATCTGCAACAAGCTTCATATTCAAGACTCGTGACTCATTATTAATCCATGCAAGTTGGTTGCAATCAAGCAAAGATACCCACCATCCATCAAAAAAAAGTGCCTAAATCATCACACACAAGAGCCAAACCATCTACACCCTATATAAAATCTCCTCCATAACAATCAATCACAGCAATCACAGCGGAATCCCCAACGTCTCCTTGATATCCTCCCCTCTCAGCCACTTCTCCATAGCCTCGTACATGCCGCGGAACTTCTCATTATCCTCCATCGTCGGCAAGTCCAGCTTAATCTTATGACCCAGCCGGGCCTGCGCCGCGCCCAGATACCGATACCCATAAGGGTACGGCGCCAATTCCTCCGCCGAAAACTCGGGGACATTCTTGCCGTCGACAGGCAGGATCTTGTCCTTCTCGTAGAACAGACGCTTGTAGTGCACCTTCCAGCCCGCCGGATCCTTCTGGCACCACATGATAAAGCGACAGTCGCACTCGACGTCACACTCCACCCCGTTGAAGTCGAAGCGCTGAGTGATGGTGGCCTTCATCTTGCCCACGGCGCGGCCGGTTGCCGGGTTCAGCTCGACGAGGGTGCCGTTCTCGCGATGCATGATGTGGTCCCCGTTGCGCCGGCCCTTCTTGGAGACTTCGATGAATTCATCGATGGGCATACCGCCGCTCCAGGCTACAGACCAAAAACAGATTAGTTTGCTGGACCGGACCGGAAAGGAAATGGAATGGAAGGGGGTGGAACAGACTTGTGAAGATGTAGGCCTGCTCGGCGAAGCAGTTACGGTAATGGGCCCACTCGGAGGCGTCTCGGTATACCGGCCAGCCTTTGAGAAGCTCGGTCACGCAGAGCCGATCGAGGATCTCGTTGGTGGTGCCATTGATGTGGCTGTGGATGGTGGGCTGGGGATCTTCGGCGGTGATGTTGACGACCATGGTGGATATATCGGTAGCTGGGGTTTTGTCTATCACATTCGAACGATCAATCTCCAGAGATCACATCCCTGTTTATATAGATTTGCTTGTGAAAGCTGTTGCCCTCTATTCTTGTCTCCCTGTGTTCCGATAAGCCTCGATTCGGCCCGCGTCATCATCTGAATCCGTCTCTTGATGTCATCCCATTGCATCAGGCAACCTCGGTCATGGTCGGTGGAGCTTGCGAGCCTGTGGTTTGCTGAGACTGTCTGGAGCCAAAATGCTGGATTACTAGGTACTGCACAGTATGGTTCTCTGAAAGTGTAGGCCGACCAATTCAGTTTGAGAGCGGTCATTGGGAGGCTGGCAAAGACCCCCTTACAATCTCTGGGATCTCAGCTTTGTATACACCAGACACTGTTAGCTCCGCCATTGAGTCCTTGCACGATTTTTTTACGAGATCGGGTTCATCATCAGATACCATTAGCAGCCGACAGACGTCATCAACTTTTTCTCCTCGTGTCCATGATTAGCGGGTCATGCCTCAACAGTCTGGCCAGGGACGGGGTGTCCAGGCGGAAAAGGTTTTTGCAGGATAAGACGTAACTGTGAGGGGATGGAATTAGTATTATCCGACTAGTTGGCTGGTTGGCTGTTGCCTGGCTTCAATCATAATGATGTGGTTGACAGGTGGATGCTTAGGAGTCGACTAGCAAGGGAAAGAAACGTTGCGAGGAAGGCCAAGGCAGCATCCACCCCGAGACCAGTCCCTCAGGAACTGACCAAGCATATCTCGCTGATAACTACAATAGCAACAACATGTGAAAGCAATCAAAGACGCTCTCATTCCTCATTAGCAACCCTGATTAAGAGTCGTCATTCCCAATGTCCTGGGTACAAAAGTTCCTAATAATAAAAAGAGGAGAAAAAAGAAGAAGATAAGAAGAGTGAAGAAAAGGAAATGGAAAAGAGAAGAACAAAAAGAGGAAAAAAAAATAGTAATAAAGACAATCGTGAAGCGAGTGCTGCAGATCATTGACCTAATAGTGTAGGTCGGCCTAAACCCATCCATGATATCCTTGGCCCATCCCAGTCCCAAAAGTATTTACCTATCCCGCTCCCATCCTGACACGCCTGATACGCCAGTGAAAAATCAAAAAGGGCACCCATAGAACGCCCGGAAATCCCATCCTTTACAGGTCGAAAGAAAATAGACATAAATCAGCAAAAAAACATGGTTGCATAGCACAGCACAGTGACTCAGACAAGTGACAGGCCTGTCATCCAATCCCAATGCCCAATCATCATTGCGTCAGTGAAGACAAGTGAGAGGCAGGTGCAGGCCCAGGAACATCTTTCAGCATATCTTGGGAGCGTCGATCATCACCCTTGGTTGCTTCAATTGCCCTCGGTGAGTTGCTATGCTTGGGCATACTAGAAGTGACCGCCGTCGTATCACGAACCACGGGTCCTGGCACGGCTGAGGTTGGTGGAAGCATCCCTGTGGCCTGGAGCTGAGTTTTCTCTACCGACGGCGTTGTCTTGGTTCCACGCCGAATAATGTAGTCTCCCAGGCTGAGCTTCTTCTTTACGGGGCTGGGAGCAATCACACTCGACGAAGCAAGGGCAGGCAATGTAGGTTGGGGAGGTGCATCTCCCAAAGGAGAAAATGACGCCGACACAGGTGCAGACCCAGGGCTTGGGGCAGATGCTTTAGAGATGATGGGCGTGGGAGGAAGAGGAACATGAAGTTCGGGACGACGTTGGCCGACTGTTTTCAACGGTATTCGAGCATTGTGAGCGGCTGTTGACGGCCAGGGAGGTGGCAAAGGAGGCTTGACCATGCCTCGGTCTGTTGACGAGGCCTCGAGCGGTGCGGGATAGGCTTGCGAGGGCGATAAAAGAATAGGCGAATCGATATCCTTCATATCCGCATCGTCTTTATCGCCTGACGCACTAGGGGTCGACGCTGTAAGTGGGAGACCCCCAGGGGGGCTCAGAGACGCAGGGGGCGAGTCCAGATGTCTGACTGGTTTTACTGGAGGTGACATAGATTGGCTGCTTTTTTCGAAGCGCAGACGATCGGAATAGCATCGTTTCAACAAACGTTGAGTTAATGGTACGAAGTTAGGTCGTCGAGGCAAAGGCGAAGAAGAGAACCCATCGATAGAGGCTTCAGGCTCGGTTTGAATTGCCGAGTCCACGTATTGAGGGCGTCCGAGTGGAGATTGGACAGAAGGCATGCTATGGCTGTTGGACATCTTGCGTGGAGAACCATGACGTCCACTAGGCAACGGCCCAGGCAGAGTACCAGCCGGTGGGGAGTGCGATCGACGCTCGCCACCATGACTTGACTGACCACTAGCTCGCTTTTTCCTTTTGTTGGTTGCTTGCTGATCCTGCTCTAATTGCTGGAACTTTTTCTCGGCCGCCGCGATTTTCCGCTTCTCGCGGGCGGAGAGCTCGGAGTCTCCCAGCAAGTAGTTTTCGGTCGGAGTCTGTAGCGTGGGAGTCAGGTCGCGACTGCGAGTCTGTCCGCGCACAGAGCCTGACGCAGAACGACTGTCGGCTTGATCATCCTCATCCATAGCCTTGGTCGTTTCACTCCCAGCACGACTGTTAGCGGTGGGGGAAATGGTTGGTTTTGTCTTAGGTCTCTTCCGTTTGAGGCTTGCCTGTTTCATGTGGGCGTCCAATAATCTGGGGTGTCGCCGGCGATCTACGCTGGCCAGCAAGCAGTTCGAGGATGGAACGCAAGCGCAGCCGCCAAAATGGGCGAGAACATTGCTGATGCAGATGGCAGCGTTGTCTTGAGCATTCTCACTCGGTTCTTGCTTGACTAAGCCATTGCTCGATTCGAACAGCTGAGGATCCAGATACCACATGGCAGTAATCTCGGCATCAGGGGCAATATCTTCTTTTGCAACAAAGCAGAAGTGATATTCTACCTGGTTCGTAATGTAGGTCTTCATCGTCACATTCGGACGGCAAGACCGCCGCACGTAGCGGAGAACACTTCCTTCATGGCGACTATCGATATAGATCGGGAGCTGGGGATGGAAGAAGACGAAAGGCTCCGGATGACGGAGCTCCTGCCAGCGATTACTGGGATCAAGACAGTAATCCCGCAGCAGCCCAATCTTACCTGTGATTTCCCCAACGATTTCGTCCTTCCCTACACGATCTTTGGTCTTAAGCACTTTCCAGGTCGGGTGTTGCCCCTCCAGTTCAATACTAGGTTCTGTGATAGACTCAGTTGACAGTGTAGGCCACCGCGACCGGTCAAGTGATGCCCCGGACCAAGTGAAGATATCCTGCGCGGACCGCCCGTTGGCAACTCTGGCCAGAGCGGTTGGTTCCGTTACCCAGGAAGCCAGATCTGCGGCCAAAGGAAGGTTGACAAACAAGTTGCTGTCCATACTCGCATAATCGTTATCATGATCATAGAGGTGCAAGAACTCGTGCGAATAGAGGGGGATGGGTGGACCAGCCGCTTTTATGGGGCTCATGGACGCTGCAGCCCGTTTCCGTGGATCAGGTGGAAAACCCGGAGCACCCGAGACAGAGCTAATGGACCCCGAAGCACGATGATTTGTCTTGACTTTCTTTGCAACGGGCTGATCGCGCACCGCGGATTCTGATCGATGGTGAAATCCATTTACCTGATCACCATGTTCTTTAATTTTTTTCTTGTGGCTCTTGTTTCCAGATCGTTTGGTTTTCCGGTCACCGCCGTCATTCTGTTCCCTAAGACGTCTCTGCCGTTCGGTTGCACGCCGCCCATCCAGATGACGCGGCTCGCAATCGACACAATTATGCACGTCGGGCACATCTCGACCATGGTAATAGCACTCTATATGCTGCCAAGTTTCGCACCCTTCACAGAAAACCGTGTTCCCATCGTCATCCTCAAAAGCGCAGATGCATTTGATGGTATACGGCTCCTCCTCTTCCGGGGCGATGGAGTCGGAAACGGTGCCGTTGACGCCGGGTGAGTGCAGCGGGACGGTGACCGGATAAGGGTCCGTGATGGGATGCGTGATGGCGACTGGGGAGGTATCTGTCATAATCCGACAGAATACCCCCTCTCAGAATGAACAAGAGACACGCGGTGGTGGTTGTTCGGGTAGACGAACGGCTCGTAGTGGTATTGTATCACAGACCAACACGCATATCAATAAAACGAACTGCTCTCCTGGCCTCAGCTATACACACACAACTCTAAGCAGCAGCAGAAGGACCACGCCAAGGTGAAACCACTTGGGCGCAGAGGAACCTGTCCACGATGTCCCAACTCAACGAAAACACGAACGACGAACCACAAAGCAGGACTCGGCTGTAAGCGACGGTAGACGATTTCGGCGCTGAAGGAGGGAAGGTTATTAGAAAGAAGGCTTCGGACCGAGTTTCGAAGGGAAAGGGTGTGTCGAAGAAAGCGTTAGTGATGTCGTGATTGTCAGTGGCGCGTGCGACCGTATGAACGCGAAAGGGTATCGATGATTGAGAGTCGACGACTATGGAAGGGCGGACAGATCTCGAATCGCATGGAGAAGAGGCGAAATTTGGAATAGACGGTCGAGAGATGGAGGCAAGGTGGTGAGGAGGTCCCGGTGAGGTGATCGTCGTTTGGTAATAGTCGAGGGAGGGAGGTGAGGATAAGACAAAAGGGGAGAGAAGAATTAGTATGGAGAAGGTAATTAAGAGGATAGAAAGGTCAAAAGAGGATTTCAGAAGGAATGGTGGATGAGTGAAAGGGAGTAGGTAAGAGGAAGGGAGATCGAGAGTGAAGAGGGAAGAGAGTGAGTGAGAGTGGATCAGAGAGTGAGTGCAAGAGCAGCGAGCGAGAGAACGAGAGAGACAGAGAGAGCGAGAGTGAGTGAGAGAGGCTAAAGCCACGGATGGGCCATCCAAGCGGCGCGTCCAAGACCCGGAGAGAAAAAGGAATGGCGTGGAATTTTTTCTCCCACCCGCTTCAAGGACTGGGGGTGGGAAAGTGTGTCAATGGTGACTTGGGGGGGGGGGGGGTGGTTGCTGGAGTAGGTGTCCTCGAACAGTGCCCTTTTTTTCGCTCTTCTCGCTTTTGCTTTAATTTTGATCCGCGATTTGGACCTCCTAGACTTGTCCTTTCTTAGTGTCCTTTTTTGTTGAGGGGGAGGGTAGATAATGATGGCAGACAGAAAGAGGGGGGAAAAGGGAAGAATTGATTTGTTAGTGATGAGTGGTGAGCATAACTTGGGTAAGGGACAGATCCGACAACGGACAGTCCGAGCAACGAACGAATTGCAAGCTGGAACGAGGGACAGGGAGGGGGGAGGGATAGAGAAGGGGAGTCGTAGCCAAAACCCACCCACCCTTGGAGCCTTGGAGGGAAGCACAGGTTGCTTGGGAGGGCGGCCGGAAACGAACCCACGTCGAGCCAGACCAAGAAGCTCTCGAGTTCGAGTCTCTCTCCAGGCTGACTCTCGGCCTCTCTGCTTCCGGCCTGAGTTCTCAGGCCAATATTCATGGTTGCCTGGAAGCGACCAAAGGTGGAGAAATCCCGCTTTGCCGTTCCCGGTAGAAAAAAGTCCCACTAGTCTCAATCAGGGAAAAGACGGGTGCCGAGCCCCGTCTCTGACACAGCGGGGGGGAAAGGAGGAAAATCATGTGAGAGGCAGGCAGAAAGAGGAATGGTGCCGGAGCATTGAACTCAGTGGATCAACCCGGGAAGAGGAGAGGAGGAAGAAGAGACACGGGAAATGTGTATGATCCATATGTGAGATGTGGGGAGAGAGTTCTGATGAAAGAGATGGAAAGGAGGGGGAAGAGCCAGCGAGCTCGTCCGGCCATCTCTCCCACGAAATGAAGCACATAAACAATAGGGATCTGGACTGAAAGGGAACATATTGCGAGTGAAGGTGAAAAAGAAAAGAGGAAAGAGAGAAGGAAAGGGACGACGAAGCCCGAATGCACCTGAATGTGGATCATTTTAGCTGCCATCAACAATAATGTCGGTCAACCTGCCCATCGTAATTCAGGCCAACGACCGCCCTGGGACAACTCATGCATGCGTTGCCCATCATGGTTCGTAATGGGACTTAGATTGTCATTGTAAACTGTAGACCTTGACCGGGGTGTCAACCCAGGAATGATGAAGCTTTAGGTTGGTCAATAAGAAGAGTGTGTTAGTCTTAATGAATGGTTAGCAGTAGAGCAAAGGCAAGTCATGAGCAAGACGGGATCAATCAAGTGCTTGGTCCTCAGTGCGGCAGGTGGTGGTGGTGGTGGTAAAGTTGGTACTCAAGGCGGCAAAGGGGACGAGCGGCTGCATGCTTGGTCGGGAGACCCAACCATGAACCATGGCAGGGAAGGTCCTCCTCGTAAGGGCAAGGTCAGTGAACAGAAGCAGAGATCAAAAAGCACTCCTATGTGCTAGCCTGACAGTCAATGATGAAAAGGGCAGATAAATTCCCATCTATTGACAGGGCTGGGGTAGGTAGGCGTAGCGGTGTTAAAGTGAGTGAGTAGTGTGGTGATCGTAGTGGGAGAGGGCATGAGTACTTGACAAGAGCCAGGGTCCCCATCATATTTGAATGGGCGGAAAGTCCAGCAGCAAGGCTGTGTGGTCAGTCATAGGACTCAGGGTGGCGGTTGCAAAAAGAAAAGGGGAGAGGAAAAGGGAAGGGAAGTGCAATAATAAATGGAATGGTCTGTGAGCAGGGAAAATCGTAGGTAGTGGAAAAAAAATATCCTCTCATGACTGATAGATTACCCATACCCGGTGCGGTGGGTTGGTTTGCACCTGGGCTGGTATCAAGCGTTACCAGCTAGCCAGGCAGACAAGCATAGATGAGAGAAAAAGAGAGCGAGAGTGAGAGCGAGGGTGTCGGAAAGAAGATGAAGACTGCTTTACACAGCCCAATTAGATCCTATAATACCTCTCTAGCCTTTGAATATTGTTGTTGAGGCACTTGCAATGGAGGAGACGTCACTCTATGATGGTTTGAGATAGCAGTCATATTAGCAGACTCACAAGCTGACTGCAAAGAGGGGAGGAGGGACCTCATGACTTGCAAAATAATGCAATAGAGCAGAGCCAAATGACCTTAAAAGTAAGCCTGGAGAGCACTCAGTATCCGTAGCATCCCCGGTAAGAACAATTTCTAGCGTTGCAGTGACCATGGTGACTGAGCGGTGCAGGGTTGACAATAATTTACCAACCGTAGCGGGTAAAATACATTACCTGTAGGGGCTGACGGGTGTCTGTCCAGCCCGCGCGTGGCGAAACCACCGCTCCCCCAAGCTTACCCTACCGGCTTTGTTGCCTCCCAACTAGCAGCTATGGACTTCCCTCTCAATATGATGATTTATCATCGGCGTCTCTGGATGTGGCAGACAAATAGTAGATCAAGTTGGAAACTGCGATTCAAGAATACAAGTAGTACACATCCTCAGGTAGGTATAGGTATATGACAAGCCCGTTGCCCTTCTAAGAATACAAAATGAAACAATGAATCTCAATGCCACACACAGTAGGATAATGATAATACAAGGTATGAGGCGGAATGCCGAGTTCACCACTGCAATAATGTCCTTCGATCAGCGTCATTAATACCCTCATGGACCCATTGCAGATCCGGCCTCAGCCTGGTGAGGAGGAGCATCCTTTCTTGACCGTGCCATCTCCCACCACACACGCTGTCCAGATGATCGAGCAAAACGGGCGCGGGCTTTGTTCTGCGTCTGCTCGTCGGGAAGTGTGCGAAACGAGGTGAACCCCTGCGTCAAGGAAGTTCGGAATCGATGGCTCAAGTAAAGCATCCAGAACATGGCAATGCTGGTGTATACGGGGACCGCGTTGCGGATCTTCAGTCCCGACAGAGCAGGGGCTTCGTCCGCGGGTGGCGAGGGGAAGGCCATGAGGAGGCTGTTGGCGATAGGTAGCACGGCGCAACCCGCAATACCCAGGTACACCCCATAAGGTTGGATGCTGGACTGATACACCTGCACAAAGCCTTCGTCGGCTGTCTGTCGGCGGAATCGGATGTAAACGAGACAGGCACCGAGCCATGAGATGGAGCCAGACGTAGTGATGAAGTACAGCAATGAGTTGTGCACAGATGAGCTGGACACCGACACCGACAGATACCCAAATACCGAGAACAAGGCGGAGGCAACAACGGCCACATACGGCACGCTCAGTCGGTTGCGAGCCGTGAAAAGGGTGGGGGCATGGCCAGTCTCCGCCAAGGCACAGAGTGTGCGAGATGAATGATGGAGAAAAGAGCGCCCAGAAGCAACAGAAGAGATGCAAATCATCGCCCGAGCAAGTATAGATAGCGCGCGAATGCCAGTCTGATCGATACCAACGACGAAGGGTGAAGCTCCGGCCCCGAGGCCATCGTTCGTCAACAGAGGCTCGTCGAAGGGACTCATAAAGGTCATCATGAAGGCACTGACAGTGTAGAGCGTGAAGAGCAGAAGGCTTGCAAGCCGTGTTGACCGCAGGATGCTTGAAGGATTCTCCACTTCACGACGCTCGACCTTCTGCACGATCAACTCCGGAACGAAGGAGAAGGCAATCACCGTGTAGAGAAGACACTGGAGGAAGCCCAGAGCGCGACCCCCGTTTCCGGGCACCAGGTACTCGCTAAACGGGCCAGGCTCATGCCAATAATGAAATCCTCGGATTGATGTGCCAGGAAAACCTCGAATGGCCATATAGATGGAAACAATCATGAATCCGACAGTGGTGAAGAGCTTCAAGCCGGTGAATATGATCTCGCTTCGCATGAATTCCCGCTCTGGAAGCATGTTGAAGAGGAAGATCGCAAGGGTGACTGCTGTGATCCGTATAGCAACGGAGGTCGCCGGATCCCACTGACCGAGACTGACCATCGCGGTGGTAACTTCGAAAGGTACCATCATTGCCAGAGTATACCATCGTAAGTAAGCCAGAGAGAATCCGAGATGACCTGAGCTGTACTGATACCCATGGGTAATCAGGGTACCAAAGGGACGAGGCTGATGGGCTGCCACTTCAGCGACGGCGGTCGTCAGGCAATACATCAGAATGGAAAGGAAGACATATGAGCCAACGAGTGCTGCTGGACCACCGACGGCCAAAGCCTGACCGGCACCGATGAAGAGGCCCGTTCCAATAGTTGAGAGAATCATTGTGTATGGCGGGATCAATAATGATGGTGTGGATATACTGGTAAAGACTGGAAGGGAGGTATGTGTACGTATAGAAGAAGAAGAATGCTGAAGAGGTGAAGAAGAAAAGGATTCGAGGAGGCGGGAGGTGGTTTTGAGTCGAGAGAAGAAGGGCGTTTGGCACCTTCCTCGTTCAGCGACGCCAACATACACCAACACGGAAAGACTGAGTCCTGGCCTCGGAGATAGAAGGTAGGTACATGTGAGGTCCACGATGCAGTGTGGGCTACAGGCTGTGCGTAAGTTGCTATTACCTTTTGCGAACCTCGATCGGATGATAGAAGGAAAGTGCGCGGGAGGTAGTCGAGGCCCAGATCCAGCTGGGCAAGTGTCAAGGAAGACCGACCACCAAGACTGCACCCGGAAAGGAACGTACTAAGCGATGCATGGGTATCATTTCTACTACCTAGTAAAGGAATATAGCAGGAGTGCGAGATATTAAGCAGATATTAAGCAAATATTAAGCAATGATCTATGGCCCCTACCAAGGTGCGATCCACACCAAACGCCTCTTGAGCATGAATAGGAAATTTGACCAGGAAGACAAAGACCTAATGGAGAAACATGGATACCAGAGAGTGCTGGAAACAAGAACATGTCCTCGCGACGCTGCTATGGGTATACTTAGCGCCTGCAACCTGATAAATCTAATCGACAAATTCCAGCCAGGGAAGTAAATCACTGAGAAGCCATATCAGTTTCGGCATATTCGAGCCATTGCCCTGAAAGAGACTTCTTCCAGAAGCGCACAGCACCATCATCACCCGAGGAGATAAGGCAATCGCCTATCTGATGTTAGACTTCCAGTCATAGTAACCGTGAGGGAGGGATTGTAGTACTTACCGGCGTAGGAAAAGCCCACTTGCCACACGTCAAGGTGTTTGCTATCAATACAGGCGACTTCCTTGTACGAATGTTTGAAATTGGAATCATCTGTTGCCGCACGGTCGGATAGCGAGGCAGGGGCATGATTTGCCAGAGCTGATCCGATTCCCGACTGGGCTTGCGTGCGCACTGATAGCGACTGCGAGGCAGATCGAGAATGGCTGCCATTTTGTTTCTTGGTCTTGGTTTCGGACGGGGAGGTGTACACTTCAAATACACGAATGAATCCGTCTTTGCACCCGCTCGCAATCAGATCGTATCCGCGAACCGAGCCATTTGCCCAGGAAATGTCTCGGACCAGACCACCATGGCCGCTTAGCTCGATCGCATGGTAAAAGCGTCGATTGGCATCGGTGCGGTACACTTTAACACTGTCCATAGCTGCCACCACTAGAGAAAGGCTTTTCCTGTCCCAAGATGGTGAGACCGAATGGGTGATGTCCGTAGGGTCGTGGTGAAACTGAACCTTGAAGCTTGTTTCCTCCCCTCTCTGAGGCGCACTACAGACACGGAATTGATCCAAGGGCTGCCAATCGGCAAGGGTGTCCGGGCTGACCGGCTCCATAACCATTAGATACCCGTCGCGCGTGATTACCGCGAGCCACGATTCGAGATCGATGTTGCGAAAGTCAATGGAGACGAACGGGTGGCGCTGCGGCGCTGTCATGCGAAAGATGGATCTGAAACGCCGACCCGAGTTGAGAGGCTGCGTAACATCTTCTTGCCATATCTTGCATTTCATATCTTCCCCCACGCTGCCAATGTGCTGGCCAGTGAAAGGTCCATTCCAAGTCGCCTAAACAGCCTATCGTCAACACAAAGCAAGTTTCTGCGGTCGATGTTAAGACAGCTTACATCGCGGATTTCCGCGTCATGGGCGCGCCATGTATCTACTAATCGCCATTCTCCATCTTTCTGGTCCCAAACCTTCATGCGATGGTCGGTTGAAGCCGTTAGGATGCGATTGCCATAGAAGTTGAATTTGGTCACTGACACCAGGTCACGATGACCGGCATCGAAATCCGCGAAACCCGACATGGATGTGGTATGCGAACCCGGGATTTCACCCCCAATTAGATGGGCGAAACAACCAGCCTCACAGCCACCGCCCTGGACACAGGATGAGACACGTCGACAGTCAGCTGGGAGCTGGAGGGGTGGTAATTCAGGGTTGGGGGGGTTCTGCTGATGCTTTTTTTGGCCTATCCATGCGTCTCCGATAGCTTCCCTTCTCCGATTGTATCAGATAGGACATGCACTGGGATTGTTGGGATCGCACAGCTGGTTTGTCACTCAGTCATCCATTCATTGATTACCTAACACGTTTGTTATCTGATGCGCATGTGCCTGATCCGCTCAGACCGCCTTCTTCAAGTCACCAGGCGGTGGAGTTACGTCGGCAAAACGAGCTGCGTCGTACGCCTTTCTCCACCATTTCCTAATGCCACCTTGCCATTCTTCGTGGTCTTTTTTAAACACATGCTGGAGACTCGTCAGTGTTAATTCATAGGGCTGTGAAGCCGGTATGCTGATACTGTCTCGCGCGCGATGACTTCAGTCAATTCGAGCTCTCTCTCCCACCATGAGGCCTGGCGCCTCTTCCTCTTGGTGGCAGTATGCGTCGGCATCTTGTCCAATACATTTCAAGGCGAAGGGGCACCCCTGATCGCGTCAATTGCCTTCAGTGGCATTGCATTTGCAGTGACATTTAGTATGATCCGTTGGCTTGGGCCTACTTTCCTCAAAGCAGGGCTGAAGGGGAAGGATATGGCCAAACCGAAAAGGCCCGAAATGTATGTGCTTCTATCTGTTCGCTGATCACTGTACAATGGTCGCGAACGTGTTTTTGATCAGAATCATGGTGGTTAATGTGCTTACGGCTCAGACCAGAGACTATGGGAGCTGTTTGCTCCATCGTATATCTCCTTGCGCTCATCTTCTTCATCCCCTTCGCTTTTTACAAAGATATCGTGGCAGCGACCTCGGGGGGAGGTAATCGCGATGTTGTTATTGAAACCCAACACGTTGAGCATGGTCGCATGCTACATCGGTTCCCTCATGGAAAGGTTTGCCACTCTCAATAGCAAACGACGCCTTCTGTATGCTAAGAACCAATTCAATAGCTTGCCTCCTACCTCTCCGGATTGCTCTCTCTTCAATGCATTGTTATCCTCGGGATCGGCGATGACTTGCTCGACATTCGATGGCGGCATAAAGTTCTCATCCCCGCCTTTGGTGCGATCCCAATGCTTATCGTCTACTTCGTGGATTTCGGGGTCACGCATGTGGTTGTGCCCGTTCCTCTGCAGCCCTATCTGGGACCGTTCATTGATCTCGGATGGCTGTATTACGTATACATGGCTGCTGTGGCCATCTTTTGTCCCAACTCGATCAACATGTTGGCGGGGGTCAATGGAGTGGAGGTTGCCCAGTCGCTCGTGATAGCAGTCTTACTGATTGCGAATGATGCACTGTACCTTGCGCCGGTGACGCCCTACCCGCATCCTGCGACTGACTCGCATCTGTTCTCGCTGTACTTTCTCCTGCCATTCGTCGGAGTCTCTTTGGCCCTTCTATGCCACAACTGGTACCCCTCCAAGGTCTTTGTCGGGGATACGTACTGCTACTTTGCAGGAATGGTCTTTGCTGTTGTCGGCATTCTCGGCCACTTCAGCAAAACACTGCTCCTCCTGTTCATCCCGCAGATCTTTAACTTCGTATATTCCACCCCTCAGCTGTTCCATCTGATCCCATGTCCGCGCCATCGCCTACCAAAATTCAATTCCGTGACCGGGCTGTTGGATGCATCCGTGACGGAATGGACGGTACCGCCTGCGCCACTGATCGCCGCCGCATTGGAACTCCTGCACAAGCTGCGCCTGGTTCGCGTCACTAGAAACGAGAATGGTCAAATCGTGCAGTCGACGAATCTCACTATTCTCAACCTGTGGCTCGTTTGGATGGGTCCGATGAGGGAAGATCGGCTCGCATTGAGCATGGTTGGTCTGCAGACTGTGTGCGGGCTTTTAGGGCTTTTTGTGCGACACCGTTTAGCTCTGCTTGTTTTCCGCGAGGACAACCGGGCGTTCAGTTATGTGTAGAGTAAATGCTGCCGAGTTTCAACTTGTATAGATGGTTTCGAGCATAGACTTATTTATAGCCTTTGGGTCCACTGTCCAAAGAAGCAAAGGATGTACGTAGTCTCTGAATAGGTAGTAATGAGGTTTCTTCAGATCAGATACAATAATACGCCGATACACCAACTGACCGCCCGACCCACAGTGACGGCGCAAAAGAGCTCCAAACTCGAAACTGGATCGGCCCAGAATTCCCAGCTGGCCGGACGCCCGACGGGATCCAACCAGAACACACCAGCCTTGCCCTCTTTTGGTCGAGTAGCGCCGTTCATGGTGTAATGTCACCGGATATGATGACATTCCCAGGGAGTCAACTCCATACTAGGTATCAACACCACACCTATTCTATGCAACTGTAATAAGATATTTTAGAGCAAATGCTGCATGTCGGGCATAATGTTTCGCCTAAGAGTCATTTACTACATAACGGAGTCATTCATTGCTGGGAATTTCGAATCAGACTCGGTCGGTTAGTCACACTACCGTCGCTAACCGCCCCCCCGCCCCCGACATCGGACTCCACTGCCCCCCCAGAAAATTCGGTCCCGTCCAATCGGCAAAGGGCCATTGGGTGCTGACCACCGAGACCGGCGTTGCCCCTCGACAGGCGGCGGTGCGACATCGCGGCGGACGCTGCTGTTAAAACCATCTCTTGTCTCTTCTTGCTCCTCTGCTCATCAATAAATCATCCTTCACATTTGTCTCGCGTGCCTTGTGCAAGCTATCTCTACTCTCGCCCTCCTCATTCAGCTGCACAATCACTCCATCTCCCTCAATATCTCCCTCAATCCTCGCCCCTCATGCCCGGCGTCGACAAAAAACCCAAGACCTTGTATGACAAGGTCCTGGACCACCACATTGTCAACGAGCAGGAAGATGGCACCCTCCTGATCTACATCGACAGACACCTTGTTCACGAAGTGACATCCCCGCAGGCCTTCGAGGGTCTCGAGAACACCGGTCGTCAAGTCCGCCGGCCGGACTGCACTCTGGTGACCGTTGACCACGTACGTTGACTCCTTTGACCCCGGTGATGCATGGTAAAAGCTGACTGGGATGCTCTTCTGCAGAACATCCCTACTTCCTCCCGAAAAAATTTCAAGAACGTCGAAGAGTTTATCCAAGAGAACGACTCCCGGCTGCAAGTGACTACCCTCGAGGAAAATGTGAAGAAATTCGGCCTCACCTACTTCGGGATGGGCGACAAGCGCCAAGGTATCGTGCACATCATCGGGCCCGAGCAGGGATTCACTCTGCCCGGCACCACCGTCGTCTGTGGTGACAGTCACACCTCCACCCACGGCGCCTTCGGTGCGCTGGCCTTCGGTATCGGCACCAGCGAGGTCGAGCACGTCCTCGCCACACAGACCCTCATCACCCGCCGCAGCAAGAACATGCGCATCCAGGTCGACGGCGAGCTCCCCGCGGGCGTCACCAGCAAGGACGTCGTCCTCCACATCATCGGCATCATCGGCACGGCCGGCGGTACCGGTGCGGTCATCGAGTTCTGCGGGTCCGTCATCCGCGGCCTGAGCATGGAGGCCCGGATGTCCATGTGCAACATGTCCATTGAGGGCGGTGCTCGTGCTGGCATGATCGCCCCCGACGAGGTCACCTTCGAGTACCTCAAGGGCCGTCCCCTCGCGCCCAAGTACGACAGCGCCGAGTGGAAGAAGGCCGTCAGCTTCTGGAAGAGCCTGGCTTCCGACGAGGGCGCCCACTACGACAAGACCATCGTCATCGACGGCAAGGACATCATCCCCACCATCTCGTGGGGTACTTCCCCGCAGGACGTCATCCCCATCACCGGCGTGGTGCCCAGCCCCGACGACTTCCAGGACGATGCCCGCAAGCTGGCCTGCAAGCGCGCCCTCGAGTACATGGGTCTGACCTCAGGCACCCCCATGAAGGACATCGACGTCGACAAGGTCTTCATCGGCTCCTGCACCAACGCCCGCATCGAGGATCTCCGCGCCGCCGCCAAGGTCGTCCGCGGCAAGAAGATCGCCGCCAACATCAAGCGCGCCATGGTCGTCCCCGGCTCCGGTCTGGTCAAGCAGCAGGCCGAGTCGGAGGGGCTGGACAAGATCTTCGTGGATGCGGGCTTCGAGTGGCGTGAGGCCGGGTGCTCCATGTGCCTGGGGATGAACCCGGACATTCTCTCCCCGCAGGAGCGCTGTGCCAGTACCTCCAACCGCAACTTCGAGGGCCGCCAGGGCGCTGGAGGCCGCACCCACCTGATGTCGCCCGCCATGGCCGCTGCCGCCGCCATCGTGGGTAAGCTGGCCGACGTGCGCGAGCACCTGGTGTCCAGCCCCGTGCTGAGCAAGGCCCACACGGCCGTCAACGTCGATGAGGAGCCCCACCACGAGGACCCCAGCAGCGAGAGCGAAGCGGAACGCATCAACGACCAGCCCGCGGACAACGAGCCCCACACCAACACCATTGCCGGACGCAGTGGCTCCTCAGGTAGCGCCGGCCTCCCCAAGTTCACAACGCTCAAGGGCATTGCGGCGCCGATGGACCGGTCCAACGTGGACACGGACGCGATCATCCCCAAGCAGTTCCTCAAGACCATCAAGCGCACGGGGCTGGGCAGCGCGCTCTTCTACGAGCTCCGGTACAAGGACGGGGCGGAGATCCCCTCGTTCGTGCTCAACCAGGAACCCTACCGCAGCGCCAAGATCCTGGTGGTGACGGGCCCCAACTTCGGCTGCGGCAGCTCCCGTGAGCACGCCCCCTGGGCCCTTCTCGACTTCGGCATCAAGTGCGTCATCGCCCCCTCCTTCGCCGACATCTTCTTCAACAACACCTTCAAGAACGGCATGCTCCCCGTCGTCATCTCCGACGAGGCCGCCCTCACCAGGATCGCCGCCGAGGCCTCCGCCGGCCGCGAGGTCGAGGTCGACCTCGTCAACCAGCAGGTCAAGGACGCCCAGGGCACCGTCCTGGCCGCCTTCGACGTCGACGCCTTCCGCCGCCACTGCCTGATCAACGGCCTCGAC